GATATTCAAACAAATAAGATTTTGAGTGTGAATGTTCATGCTCAACAGCGTGTAACAAAATAATGGAAACTCTAACAAGCCTTTGGAGTTTCAGCTGCAGCTTAAAGAATTTAGTCCCCAGACAGAGTAATTTTTTTCACGTGTTATCAGCTGGATTAAAATGCTTTGAAAACTGAAGTGTTCATTTTAAGAAAAAAATTAATAATCATTAGTAATTTAAGGAAAGGCCGATGCTGAATTGATTCAAAAGATGGTTGTTAGATTATATAGTTCAAAGTAGTACTTTCATAAATTATCTCAATCAATGAATATATTTCTTTTTATTGAAGAATTTCTGGTAGTTGTCAGATAACATTTGTAGTTAATTTTTTCCCCCAAAGAGCAGACTTTTATAAACAGTGCGTATTTTGGACATTTTCAGTCCATACACTAAAGGACTGACGAGCGGTTGGCATGTAAGCCAGTATAATGACAAAAGAATGCGCAACATATTGGGTAAACTGCTCAGATTAAACCTGCTCTGCATTATTTCAAAGAAGGCCCCAAAAGAAAAGTTGAGCAGAGAAGCAAGGTGAGGAGTGCAGGTACTGACAGCTTTTTGTCTGGTCTGTTTAGAACCAGAAAAACACACTTTAAGAATCCTCATGTAAGTGTAGAGAATTAAAATTATAAGACCAACAATTACTGTACACATGTGAAAAATTCCATACATGTTATTTACAGTGGTGTCAGAGCAGGCCAGTTTAACGATGGGGTAGTTGTCACAGTACACTTTTTGAATTGTGTTCCCACACAGCTGTAAAGGGACACTCAGAGACAACATGACACCAGTAAAAAGTACACCGTATAACCATATTAATGTGGTAAGGATTGCAACCGTTTTAGACGTCATACGTGTGTTATATTGTAGAGGATAACAGATTGCAAGGTATCGATCGTAAGACATGATGGCTAAGGTCACAAATTCTACACATCCATAAGAGTACAGACAGTAAATCTGCAGGAAGCAAAAGGGAGCAGAAACAGTGTGAATGTCAGAGAGAATCTGAAGCAGAAGGAATGGAAACAATCCTGTACTACCATACAGCTCATTTACAAACAGGCTGCACAGAAAAAGGTACATAGGTTCATGTAAGCTTCTGTTCATACAGATAACCACAATGAGCAAAAGATTGGCACCAACAATTAACATATATAAAGTCAGAATAATGAGGAAATATAAGTATTTAAAAACCCCAGTGTCAAAGTAGGCAGCAAGTGTAAAATATGAAAACTGTGTAGAGTTTATCATGATCCCTCTCTTTGTTTAAAAAAAATTGTAGTTGTTAAGTTCAGCAATTTAAAATAGATCTTTGTGAAAGAAAACATCAATTATTCCTACTTTATAAACAAATCTTAGCATATTCACACCAATCAGATTCACCTGAATGAAAACAAATTTCCAAAATACATCAAACTTACTGTTATATTATTTAAAGTCACTATAAGTCAGGTTGTGAGAATGGATGCTTTCTAACACTGATATGCTCACCTTCTATAGTCACACTGTGACTGCCTCCCACCTACTCAGCTTCTTTTAACCTTTTCCAGTCAGGGGGTTTGGCTTAGTCTGTGAGTGGACCCAGCAGCGGAAACAGACAGGAGTTGTATAAGTTAAACTTTTTTAATGAACAATTTATGAATGGATGAAGGGGTTGGCTGGGCAGACAAATGCAGGAGGGAGGCAGGCGTAGACGGTGTAGTATGGCTGGGGTTTTGAGCTGAGGTGGCAAATGGAAGAAGAAAAAAACCATGTTGCCAAAAAGCATGAGAGGAAAAAAAACCACACAAAAGCGACAAGAAGTTTCAGCTGAAAGCAGGACTTAACTACAAAGCAGATGGAAGAATCGGGTGACGAGTGGCAGGAGAGCTAGAGTCTTTAAGCAGATAGGCGATGATTTGATTGAAGTGAATTGAGGAGAGGTGAGGTGAGCCAGGTGCAAGGAAGGTAAGCTGTACCCATAATTCATACACACATATACGCATAGGAGGAAGATCCAGGGAAACAAGGAAAGGCTGAGGCAAGAGGAGGCAGGGCCTTCAGAGAAATCTTAAGTTGGGTCACTTAAGAGGAATCGATAAAGCTCAGCAACAGAATCCACTAGAGCAACCAAGAGAGAGGTTTTCAACTGCATATGAGTGGTTGGTGAAGAAGTGGAGGTATGGCTTATCAGGACCACAGTTACTGATGAGCCCACCCTTTTAGCAGAAGGGGACAGGAGATGAGGATGTGATCGGTCTAGTGGCATGAATGTATTGTGGCTTTAATTGGTGGTTTTTCCTTTTTCAATTTACTATGCCATTCTGAGTACGCAGCCTTCTTGAAAACTCTGGTAGGGGTTCTGGCAAGGTCATAGTTCTTCAGGGGGACTTCATTTCCTATTAGGGAAATTCTGGATAGACCTGAAGGGGATGACAGTCCAATCCTTTGTACTGGACTTGTGCTAGTCATGGATTGCCTTTTCCAATAAGGTTGTTTTTTTAGCATCTAAATGTCTTAAGACGCTTGGGGACCACCATGCCCATCTGCTAGACCACAGGCACTTTCCCCGACCTTCACACATATGATACTTGATTCGTTAGAGCTCCTGGTTGTTGTAAGGACAGTCGTTGTGGTCGCTGGAGTCACCTGAGGCTGTGATTGTTGTTGGCATTGTAAGAGTGTCCCTCATGCTTAAAATGTAGGTAAACAGCTGAGTCTTGATCTGAGGAGCTGGCCTTTCTGTGTTGTTCCATGCTTTTGTGTAGTGGTGTTTTAGTTTTCTCATTATACAAGTCAACATTATATAAGTTGCATTCTTCAATGAAAAACTTTACAAGAGATTTACTCACCAGCATAATTGTATTTTGCAAATATAAACAAAGTTAGAATTTCATGCATGCAACACACTGAGGCATGGTTAATTGTTTGGGAAGTGAAGATAATTGTGCCAGTTTTCCAATTGGAATTTTTGTCCATTCTTGCTTGATTTAAAACTTCAGCTGCTCAGCAGTCTGAGTTCGCCGTTCGCCGATTCTCCTCTTTATGATGCGTTTTATCATGATACATTTTCAACCGGGGACAGATCTGGACCGGCAGCAGGCCAGTAAAGCACACGCACTCTGGGTCTACAAGCTACGCCGCTGTAGCCTGTGCAAAATGACGCCTGGCAGCGTCCTGCTGAGATTAGGCTTAGACCCTTTTTTTTAATATAAAAGTCACAGCCCCATCAGCGCAGAGTCTCTTTCTTACCTATTCAACCTGTCGTTTCACTGTGCAGTTCCCAGTGCTTGGAAGGCAGGGGTACTTTATTTAAGGGGGAAAATCAAGCTGATCCAAACTGTTACAGGCCAATCTCTATTTTGCCAAGGTGCTAGAAAAACTTGTCCACAAGCAACTGACTGACATTCTTCATGATTATAGCATAACTTCTGGTATGCAATCTGATTTTTGTACTTGCTTTAGTTGTACCACTGCCACCCTGAAGGTCTTAAATTATGTTAAAAATTCCCTTGACATGAAGCAATGTTATGCTGCTATTTTTATTGACCTGGCAGAAGCTTTTGATAGAGACCATTCCATCCTAGTCAACTAACTCATTGGTGTCTCGTTTGTTGATACTCAGGAAAGTATTAAAAAACAGGCAGCTATGTAATAATTTTTAAACTTTCCAAATAATCTTATGAACCATTAACAACTCATATATAAATGGTTTGTCATTAAAATAATACTTCATTTATAAATAGTGAACCGATCATGTATAAAGTATGAAAATACAATTCACAATACAATTCTTATTAAGCACATTATAGCTTATTAATAAAGAATACATGTATAACTATGTTTATAAATGACTTACTAATGTGTATTAATGTATGAACAATGCTTTATAAATGATAAATTCCGTATTTACTAATACTTAACTAATGCTTTATAGTGTGTAGTTATTATAAAGTGCTACCCAAAATAAAGTGCATAAGCTATCTGTCAGAGCTAGATCACATAAATAAGGTGTATTTGATATAATTTTTATAAAAGTAATATTCATACTGAAATAAATAAACTGTTTCATTGTAGCCTGTTTCAGTTTTGTGCAAAAGGAATTAAAGGCCAGTCTCATATGGACGCCTGTCCCAAATATAGGCAGGGTCAATTCAGTGATTTTAGCAAATAAAAGCCCGGGCTATTAATCAAAGTTTTACAGTAATATAGTTTGTGTTGAAGTGTGTTAAATGTGTTAAGTGACAACAGTTTTCCAAAGTACACCAGGGCCCATGTGGCTATATTGGTCACAGAAGCATGACTTTTGTTTTTATTGCATATTGGAAAATATCCAAACTTTTCTAGAAATGGGGTTTGTATACAGCCTTACTGTTTTACTCTTCTAAAGCACTTTGTGACTTTGTTCTGTTAGAGGTGCTCTATTAAATAAACTTTACCTACTACTTACTTACAAATCTCAGTTTGCATTTACAGATTCTTGCACACATGGACTGAAATACAGTTACACAACTCTCCACTGATATTTGTAAATGGTCCAGCTACAATTTCCCCAAGAGAGATTCATAGTGTGTGTCTTCAACTTATTCTTCAGTAATAACAATAATAACCCCATAGTCACATTACTGTGGGAGTCTAATGACTTGAAAAGAAGGGACTCACAAGATTACTACAGCAGGTCAACATATAAATGTCAGGATTCACCCGGTGTCACTGTTTGTCTCTGTATTGTCTGACCTTAGTGTTACATGACAGAATGGTAAGTTAGTTAAGTTTAAATTGTCTCAATTGTTTTCTTGATGATGAATTTCTTTACTGTGTGTAGGCCTAGTACTATTAATCTGTTCGTTACTTTAGCTGCACATAGTCCCAAACAAGCACAGAGCTTATAGTTAAAGTTTTACTAAAACAAAATGTAACAATGAAATTCATTAATTCTATGAACAGTGTTATGGCTGCTTTATGAAGCAAAAGCAGGATCATGATAAACTCTACTCAGGTTTCATACTTCATACTTGCTGCCTACTTTGACACTGGACTTTATAAATACATTTATTTTATGGTTATAATGTCTTTATATATGTTAATTGTTGGTGCCAATCTTCTGCTCATTGTGGTTATCTGTATGAACAGAAGCTTACATGAACCTATGTACCTTTTTCTGTGCAGCCTGTTTGTAAATGAGCTGTATGGTAGTACAGGGTTGTTTCCATCCCTTCTGGTTCAGATTCTCTCTGACATTCACACTGTTTCTGCTCCCTTTTGTTTCCTGCTGAATTTCTGTTTGAACTTTTATGCAGGTGTAGGATTTACTAACTTAGCTGTCATGTCTTTTGACAGATATCTTGCAATCTGTTGTCCTCTACAGTATAATATCCAAATGACATCTTACAAAATTGCCATGCTTATTGCTCTAACTTGGCTTTACGCTCTACTAGTGTGTCTTATAATGATATCCTTGACTAACTCCTTAAAGTTGTGTGGGAACATTATTGAAAAAGTGTACTGTGACAACTACTCCATCGTCAAACTGGCATGTTCTGACACCACGATCAATAACATCTATGGGCTCTTTATGATTTCATTCACAATCTTATGTCCTGTTTGTCTAATCTTTTACACTTACATTAAGATTCTTAAAGTTTGTTTTTCTGGTTCTAAACAGACCAGACAAAAAGCTGTCAGTACCTGCACTCCTCACCTTGCTTCTCTGCTCAACTTTTCTTTTGGGGCCTTCTTTGAAATAGTGCAGAGCAGGTTTAATATGAACCATGTACCCATTGTTTTGAGATTTTTTTTATCATTATATTTTCTTACATGCCAGCCGCTTCTCAACCCTTTACTGTATGGTCTAAACATGTCCAAAATCCGCAATATATGTAAGAGTCTTGTCTTTGCTAAAATGTAGGCCACTTTTGCAATGGCCTTCCAACAGATTTCAGTGTTAAGGTCTGAAGTTTGATTTTTAAAATTCAACTGTAAAACTGCTGCTGTGCATTCAATGGTTGCCTTCTGATAGATAAATTAGTTTGCTATGGCAAATTTAAAATAATACACATTTTGTTATACTGTGTTTGAAATGTATTTTCACAAAGATGAATGCAAAAAAGTTACAAAATTTCAATGAAAAAGCAAAGTGGGGATTTGATAATGATGTCTCAACAATTTTGTATTAAATGTGTATTATGGCTTTATTATTAGGAGTACCTTTTTGAAGTAAAAATAAGTTAATAAGTTGGAATTCTGTGGATGTCACAAATCATAGACACTGTAAATTAATGAATGCTTTTATTTTTTAAAGGCCTAAATGTAGCTTTAGTCTAGAGATGGATACGGAGTTCCTATCTGAATGTATCAATGTCATATTCTTCATATATAAACATCTGCTATTTGTGTCTGGAGAGGTTTGCACTAGCTGTTGAAAAACTGAAAAATTAAAATGAAATTCCACAATAGCATCTAATGTATTCCCCTGTAGGTTTCCATGTTTTCTGGGCAAAAATACTGATGATAGTGAGAAGTGTCAAAATCTAAATGAACAGCCTTTATTCAGCAGTGTAAAAAGAATCTAAAAATGGCCACATGTTTTTGGCTTACACCTTCAAGATGTTCAAGTAGAAGCCATGAGGTATTTAAAGCAATGTAATGAAGAAAACACCTGATTGATTGGATTTCATTTAAAACTTCTGTATTCTGTCTGACAGTGACCACATTAACACTCGCAAAATAACATCACCATATATTTGACCATCAAAGGTCATTTTCTCCCCTCAAACTTGAAAAATAAAAATTAAAATTAAAGCTACATACACTATATACAAACTACATGTTGTGCGATTGCGTGGTGTGGGGACAGAGAGGACCCAAATGCAAAGTTTGGAGGGAAGGAGGTTTATTGAGGGAGAAGGGGGTAAAGGGACTGGAGTGGAGGAAGAGGTGGATGTCGGGAAAGCACAGGCACGGGGAACCAAGGAGACAGGGGCCGAGGAAGCGAGGAGAGGCGGGGGAACAGGGAGGACGCCGTGAGGGAAGTCCGAGGAGGAGTGGGCCAGCGGATGAGCCCAGCCGACTGAACGGAGGACGAGGGTGAGTGTACCTGGGAGGGAAACAGACAGAGAGACAAGGTTAGGGAAGACAACGACAAGGCACAGGGAAAATGAGAAAAAACAAGAAACATGAAAGCCTGAACGTGGGGGTGGCACCGGGTATGGAGCAACGACGATCAAGCGAGGATGGTTTCCCTGCCTGTATTTCAACCCCGGATGAGGTTGATTATTGGCAGGTGTGGCAGGCTGACGAGGTGGCTGATGGGATGCAGGTGCAGGTAGTTGGCTGGGCTCAGGAGCAGAGGGAGAGAGAGAGAGAGAGCACAGGCAGGGGAGGAAACACAGGGAGGCAGGCAGAGAACAGAAAACCAAGGAGAAAGCAGAACAACTGATAAAAAGGAGAAAAAAACAGGACACTCACCGTCAGCCGGGCTGCCACCACAACACTACACTTATTATCATAATGGATAATTACACAGAATAATTGCACACATCATTTACTAATTAAATATTTCTCTGTAAATTGGACAATTGCATGGAGATAACATTTTACAGGATACAAGCAGGAAATTCACAGAACAGTAGTACAGTAAAAATACAATAGCACATTTTACATTGAAGGGATATCCTGTATTCTATATTAGTATAGATAGTAAGTATATATATATATATATATATATATATATATATATATATATATATGTATATATGTATATGTATATATATATATATATATATATATGTATATATATATGTATATATATATACTGTAGTTCCCAAGTGTGAGGGTTGAGAATGAACTTTAAACCCCACTGACAGAATCAGAATCAGAAGGAGCTTTATTGCCAAGTAATTTTTACACATACAATGATTTTGCTTTGGTCATAAGGTGCTACACGTAGACAAACATACAGTTGACATAAATAAACGTAGTAATATATAAATATGGAATAGACAGATGGAAAAAATATATAAATTGATAAAATATAAAATATAGAAGAAAAATGATTAACACTTAACAACAAACAACAAATATGTGCAATATACCGGGTATGTGTATGTTCACAATGATGTGAAATTAAATAATATTTACATGTTCAAAGATATACAGGATTTGAGAGGGAAGGAGGGAGTGTCAGTGGGGGCCCGGGCCTTGTTAATGAGGCTGCAGGCGGGAAGAAACTGTTTTTGTGGCGAGAGGTTTTGGTCCTGATGGACCGCAGCCTCCTGCCAGAGGGGAGAGTCTGAAACAGTTTGTGTCCAGGGTGGGAGGAGTCAGCTGCAATCTTTCCTGCTCACCTCCAGGACTCTAAGGTGGTCCTGAAGTGAAGGAAGATTACCACCAATCACCTTCTTTGCAGAGCGAATGATACGCTGCAGCCTTCCCTTGTCCCTGGCGGTGGCAGCAGCGTACCGAGCCCGTTCTCATTTCAGGGCGTCATATACCGACGATTTGAGAAAGAGTGACAAAGCGTAGCTAAAGTTACCCTTTAGCGTCTGTGTGAGATGCACTGGATGCGTCTCCATGAGACGCTTCTGGAAGTGTCTCTATGAAACGCTCTGGGGCGTCCCGTACAGACTGGAAGTGCTAGCTAGCACTAAGCCCCTACCCTTACCACAACCATCAGAAATGTTCAGCCCGTTCTCATCTCAAGGCGTCATATAACAACGATTGGAGAAAGAGTGACAAAGCATAGGTGTTTGACGCAAAAGGTACCCTTTAGCGTGCGTCTCCATGAGACGCTAAAGGGTGTGGTAACGGTAGCTAGCTAGCTAGCAACGTTCATGATAAAGGTGTTGACAGCCCCCCGAAGCTCCTACCCTCACCACAACCATCAGGAATGTTAGTACCTAAACCTAAGTCACTGAATGTATGCATGTCGAGCGGCTAACCCTACATCACGGCCGATGTGCTAACAGGTAGGGTTAGCCTCTCTTGTGTTGCTGCAATGTAGGAAACAGGGGGCGTTTCATACGGATAAAATCCTTACGCTTTGTCACGCGGTCTGAAAAGCGTCAGTTATGACGCATTGAGATGAGAATGTGTTGGTGTACCAGATGGTGATGGAGGAGGTGAGGATGGACTCCATGATGGCGGTGTAGAAGTGCACCATCATTGTCTTTGGCGGGCTGAACTTCTTCAGCTGCCGCAGGAAATTCATGAAGGTTTTAGACTGGCCAAGTCAGTCAGCTGACCTTAACCCAACAGAGCTGCATTTCACCTCCTTAAGAGGAGACTGAAGGGAGAAACACCCCGAAACAAACAAGAAGTGAAAGAAGCTGCAGTAAAAGCCTGGAATAGCATCACAAATGAAGAATGCAACAGTTTGGTGATGTCGACGGGTCGCAGGCTTGAGGCAGTTATTGCAAGCAAGGGTTCTGCCACCAAATATTAAATGTTATTTACTTTTTTGTTCCATTACTTTTGCGCACCTTATAATGCTGTGGTCTCATACAAACGGGTATTTATATCTAGATGTGTTAATATGATCAAAAACATCCATGGACTCTTTATGATTACAGTCTCAATTTTATGTCCTGTTTGTCTAATCTTTTACACTTACATGAAGATTCTTAACAGACCAGACAAAAAACTGTCAGTACCTGCACTCCGCACCTTGCTTCCCTACTGAACTTTTCTTTTTTAGGCCTTCTTTGAAATAGTGCAAAGCAGATTTAATATGAACCACGTACCCTTTATTTAGAGAATTGTTTTATATTTTCTTACATGCCAGCCACTTCTCAACCCTTTACTGTATGGTCTAAACATGTCCAAAATCAGCAATATATGTAAGGTATAAAGTAAGTAAGACAATTAAAAATGAATGCAGATTTTGCATTTTCACAAAGAATGATGCAAGAAAGTAACAGAAATACAATTATTATTTATTGAAAGAAAAGTGGTTCTGATAAGATACAAATAAACTGGATACATGAGAAACATGTATCCGAAAGGAAACAAGGAAAGGTTTACATATTGTATATAGTTTTTATTTGTTTCATTTAGATGTATTTACATTTATCACTCAGTCCCCTTTTCCCTCTACTTTTGTCTCTTGAGCTGCTGTAACAAGTGAGTTTGGGATCAATAAAGTTTATCTTATTATAAGGAGTTATTGTTACCATGATTCTCTGGGTAAATGTTTATACTTTCAAGATCCCACAGAAACTGAACCCCAATCTCCCAGGTCTCAAGTCAGACCCATTCATAAACCGAAATCCAAATCAGGTTTATTGCCTAGTAGGTTTACAGATATAAGGAATTTGCATTCCTAACTTGTGCATAACAATAAAGATACAACTCAACTTTGACAAACATTTACAGTATGTAATGTAAAAGGTGGAGGGTGGTGGGCATGAGAGTCAGAGTCAGTACTGGTCCCAGGCCTTGCTGAGGCCATCTGCAGATGGAGAGAAACTGTTTTTATGGCACCACAATTTGCCACATGATACGCTGATAATATAACACTCCAAAACTCAAAAGTACTGAAACTCACCAAAAGGTTTAAAATAACGTTTCGACTCCAGTTACTGTGTATATGTTTATGAAATTGTCTATGAAAAACCTAATTATGTCCGCTGATAGACATTAAAAGTGTGTCTTAGCTGTGCCTTGTTAACCTGCTTGTGTTGTGCTCTGTCAGCGTTTCTGTATATTTGATCTTTCGGTTTTGTTTTAGCATCTGTTCCATGTTTGGATTTACCGTCGCTTAGACTCTTGCCTTGTGCTCTTTGGAAGACTGTTTCAGTTAAGTTTTTTTTTAAATAAACATTTTGGACTGCAACCTCCTCGCCATTGTCTGCATTTAGGTCCACACCTCAGTTTACCTGACTTTTTTACCTGACATTTTTTCAACTTACT